TTTTATGTGGATCAGTCCTCAGTTCCTCCAAGCACTAGACAATTAATTCTTCGAACATTTTTTGATATATATATATATATATATATATATATATATATAAGCATAGCTTTGAAATTCCCAGTACTGCTCATTTCATGGATTAATTAGCTCAGTACTCTTAGCTCATTTTTGGTATAACTTCAATCAAGAAAACATACATGCATGTAGTACAATTAACACAATAACTTAGTAAAAAAAAAAAGCAATATGTGTTGCGAAATTAAACAAAATACATAAAAAAGAGATCAAACATACACAACAGGAACACACATATTTTACGTGGTTCACCTAAAATTCAGGATTACGTCTAAGGGTTACAGGGATTTCAATATCATGATCAAACAATAGACATAGGGCAACACAACAAGTGCAAAAATTACTAAAATACCCCCAATATGAATCTGCGGAATTGGGTCTTGATCTACCGTATCTATCAAGCTTCACACTATCCATCAATATGATACCCTTAGAACTTTCAAGGCTCTGGACACATTTATGCCCAGCATTTTCCAAGTTGGATGAAAGTATGAAACATTTATCAGCATGTTGGTAAATTAAGATTAATTGTATTCTTTGGTGTAGCTATATACATAATACACATCGATTGAATGAAGCTTGTTCCTTAATATATTTATTCATTTCTAGGAATTTACTTTTGGGGAATTAATTTTTAGGAAAAAAAATAAATCTATCGAATATTTGTATACTGATATGAAAAAATAAACCTAACCTACTTTGACCAGCCGCCAGACCTCTTCGATTTTCGAATGATAATATTTTGTTATCAAAGATAAAAATTTCCATCGGATAAGAATGATGACATTTCTTATCCAGGATAATGAAAGACGACATGGTTCAACAGGGTAAGAATAACCTTGGCACAATTTGAGAAACTCAAATGAGTAAATCATATCCCGACAAATCTGGTAACAAACGATCTCCTTTGATCTCGCACAAACGAATTTTCTCTGATCTCGCAAATGAACTAAGGGAAAGTGGCTATAAGAATGAGATCCTACCAGTAGATAAAGGTACGACCAAAAATGATTATTAAATCCCTGCCTTTCTTTTAGACCTTCGGTGACTGACTTGATCGTCGGAGAGCTCTTGGTAGGCACCACAACGATGCCGTCAAGCTTTGTCGATCTTCTACTCTTTTCTTTGTAGGAAAACGGTGTCGTATCAGACCGCATGGATTTCTCCCCCAACAGTTGACGCCGTCTGTGGGAACGACGATTCCCTTAAATCAATTACTCGGTTGGGTATATACACTTGCGGTCCGGTATGGTAACTAAAACAGAAACATCATTGCAGGGATCCAGTCAAAAAGAAGGGTCGGGTGAACACCCAGATGTCCCGAATGACCAGGAACAGCTTGCAGTGTTTGAACTACGGGTCTAAACTCTGAATCAGGGTATGGATCAGTTGATCCAACAAAATGCAAAGATCCTGCAACATCTTATCCCAGTGGGACCACCGCCTCAACAAGAATTGTCTGACCTATATCCTTCCAATCTGAATGATGGGGGATAACACGAGGAGGACCGATAAAACAATCCTTCTCACAAGTCTGAGGCAGAACAAAGCCAAATCGGAAACTGACACAGAGAACCTCCTTCCCCGCCTCCACGGAATCCCCAGTCTCAAACAGATACAACCTTCTATGTTAAGGAAAAGATAGAGAAAGTTACCTATTTCGACCTACAGATCGAGGATCTCAAGGCGAAAATGGAGGATGTAATGCAGGCTATGAAAGGGAAAGGTCCTGCCGTCATAGATGACCTGGTGCAAAAGACCAACTTGCCGTTCAGCCCCGCCATTATGAAATGTCCACTGTCTAGTAAGTTCAGTATGCCCTCGTTTGAAAGCTTCGACGGGACCAAAGATCCCCTTTATCACCTGGATACCTTTCAAGCTCTTATGCATTTATACGTTGTGCCGGCTGAAATCATGTGCCGAGCTTTTCCCACTACACTTAAGGGATTAGCAAGAGTTTAGTTCAATAAGCTGAAGTCAGGAACCATCAACATCTTCGAAGAACTGAGTAAACAGTTTGTGAGCCACTTCATTACAGGTCAGAGGCATAGGAGGCCGGCCACCTACCTGCTTACTGTGAAGCAACAGAAGGAAGAGTCGATCCAAGAATACATTACCCGATATTGCAGGTAGAAGAGGTGGACGACAAGGTAGCTTTGACCACTTTCATAAGAGGACTCCAAACCTCCAGATTCTTGTTCTCCTTATTAAAAAAACCTCCCACCAACATGACAGAGTTGTTGATCAGAACGCAGAAACACATAAACGCTGAAGACGCCACGAATGCACAGAAGGGAAAGGAAGGAGAGGACAAGAAAATGTCTGCCCCTCTTACCAGGGATGAAAAGGATACCAGCTAAAAGAGATCATTCTTCAGCCAAAGCGATAAAACATATCGTGAGGAAGACTCAGATAAGTATACCGACTAACAATTATCTTACAGCTGGAATTAACCTTATCAAGTCATTCAAAATAAAGACTGCGGGGCATCTCAGTTCATCATTTTACATGGAGGGTAACTCCCTCACGTGTTATTTTGTTTTCCAATAAAGTCACCATCACCAATGAGATGAATAACCCTCAATTTTTACGCAATAAAATATTCCATTTTCAATTACCTACTTATGTGGTAATATTAAACTCATATTAATCCACTTATCTTATTAAAGGGACGAGAGGCCAACAACACATTCTTCCCTCATTAAAGGGACAAGAAGCCGACTATTCCTTCTACACAAAAGGGTGATATAATTAAAACTTCCTTCATTTACTAGAGAGACGAGACGACTACCTCTCGTATTAAAGGGGTCACCCTCCTTCAAACTACACCTCTTTCTCCCATAAAGGAACGAAGGGTCAACTTCATCTTCTTCCCTCGGTAAGGAGACGGAGGGTTAACTACTCCCTTATTAAAGTGAGAGTTCACAACGCTCAAGCAAATCTACTTCCCTTATTAAAAGGGGCAAGAAAGTAATCATCAAGCATGTTTAGCTCAGTAGGACTTAGCATTCCCGACGCTTGACAAAAATCTAATTCCCTTACTAAAGGGATACAAGGGATGATAATGAGTGTCATGTATTAAAAAGACTCGGTCTGAATGAATCCCATAATCAATATCCCCGTACTATAATGGATAGTAAATAAATGTCATGTACTAAAAGAACCCGGGATGAGTGAATACCGTAATCAATATCCCCGTATTATAAAGGATAGTAAATAAATGTCTTGTACTAAAAGGACTCGGGCTGAATGAATCCCATAATCAATATCCTCATATTATAAAGGATAGTAAATAAATGTTCTCTACTAAAAGGATCCGGGTTGTATGAATCCCGTAATCAATATCCCCTTACTATAAGGGATAGTAAATAAAAATTCCTTACTAAAAGGACGAGCTGAGTAAAGCTCGTAAAATTTAATTCCCTTATTAAAGGAGTGACAACCTGAGTGAAGCTCGTACTATTTATTCCCTTACCAAGGAAAGATTACCCAATGGAAAAATACCCAAGGGAATATTGCCCAAGGGAAGAGTATCCAAGGGTACCAAAAATAGTACTCAAGGGAAGAGTACCCAAGGGTACCAAAAATAGTACCCAAGGGAAGAGTATCCAATGGTACTAAAAATAGTACCCAAGGGAAGATTACCTAGGGGTACCAAAAACAGTACCCAAGGAAAAATTACCCAGGGGAAACAAAAATAGTACCCAAGGGAAGAGTACCCAAGGATACTAAAAATAGTACCCAAGGGTACCAAAAATAGTATCCAATAGAAGATTACCCAAGGGTACCAAAAATAGTACCCAAGGTCAGATTACCCGCGGGAACTGTTCCTAGGGCAAGCAAAATAAATAAATAAATATATATATATATATATATATATTACTGTTCATATGAACAGTACCCATAGGAATAGTACCCGCGGGAACTGTTCCTAGGGCAAGAAGGAAAAAATAAAAAATAAATAAATTACTGTTCATGTGAACAATACCCGCAGGAATAGTACCCGCTGGAACTGTTCCCAAGGCAAGAAGAAAAAAAAATTGCATTCCCAGAGCTAGAAGAACAAGTTTGGGAATGGGCAACTGATAAGGAAAAATAAACCTAACCTACTTTAACCAGCCGCCAGACCTCTTCGACTTTCGAATGATAATATTTCATTATCAAAGATAAAGATTTTCATCGGATAAGAAATGATGACATTTCTTATCCAGGATAATAAAAGACGACGTGGTTCAACAAGGTAAGAATAACCTTGGCACAATTTGAGAAAGTCAAAGGAGTAAATCATATCCCGACAAATCTGGCAACAAACGATCTCCTTTGATCTCACACAAACGGATCTCTTCTGATTTCGCAAATGAACTAAGGGAAAGCGGCTATAAGAATGAGATCCTACCAGTCAATAAAGGTACGACAAAAAATGATTATTAAATCCCTGTCTTTCTTTTAGACTTTCGGTAACTAACTTGATCATCGGAGGGCTCCTGGCAGGCACCACACCGGTGCCGTCAAGCTTCATCGATTTTCTACTCTTTTCTTTGCAAGAAAACGGTGCCGTATCGAACCGCGCAGATTTCTCCCCCAACATATACAAAGTTCATGTAAGGAAGCACCAGACCACAAGAAGAGGTTGAGAATTCGAGTCTTGTTAGGGAGTAAAAGTAATTGCTGGATCTACAATTTCAAATATGTGCAGAAACCTAGGACTTTCGTGTACTATCCTATCGATGGAAAGTTAAATAAAGTTCTCAATTGGTTTTTTTAAGTTCTTGAGTTTAACAAGATTGAAGAATCACATGGAACCCCATCAGAAACATGAAAAATAATACTATTCAAAACAATTTCAATTTTTTTTTGGTAAGTAAAACAATCATGAATGTTACTGGGAATTGATATTCCATAATTAGACATCATAACTACGACCACATAGTCTACATATATATGCTTCAATCTGTTTCTGAACAAAAACTATCAGTCCAATGTTTCTCTATTAGCTTACCGGCCACTCGTGGGGAGAGATTCAAGAACCCAGTTGTTACTGCTAGAGCTACCACCCTCCCCATCTCTTGGAACCAAAGAAGCCCCTGTGGAATGATTTGCTTGGCTTTCTTTATTAATCAGCGACGAAATGGCAGCCGCGACAGCAACCCTAAATTTAGGATCAGAAGCAATTGCACTCACATTTTCAGCCAATGCCTTGTTCTCTTCACTTTTCCAACCCATGACCTCATCCATTAATCCTCTAGAACTAGGAAGAAGATTGTTTGCAATAGTACCATTGCCATTGCTTGGTTTGTTAGGCATCCAATTGAAGCCCAGCTGAGGTGACGAGCTTGAGGGGAATTGTTGATAAGGATTGAAAGGATTGTTGGTGAGATCAAGAACAATTCCTTTGGAAGGGTCATTAGGGTTTATGTTTCTGATGGCTGATGGATATGGAGATGTGGTGTTCATCATATGAGTGGTATGGTAGGGGTATGATCCTGAGGCAAAATTAGGGATGCCATGTCCATCCGAAAGGGGATTGCTCGAATCTACTAACATGAATGATGCTGCTGCAGATGCAGTTGAAGCCATTGCTGTCGCGCCCACGGGGAGTGGATGGTTGTGTGTTCCTTCATAGGTTGTGATGAGTATTGACATGTCCTCTAAACATCTTTGCACCTGGTTACAATAGAAAATAATAGTTAGATCACTAATAAGAGAATTTTAGTGCAAGATAAAATCATAAAAGAAGTTGAAAAATGGAATATTTAAACTACAATAACACACTGAATTTTAATACCCAAAAGCAGTTTTTTATATACCTGTTTTCTAACTGGACATCCTGGAGCTACAGTGCAACGATAGTAGGCTCGTGGACAAGGATTTCCTTTTGCTATTTTCTGCCCATATTTTCTCCATTGGCAACCATCATTCATCTACAATAAAGTTTTAGATTGAGTTTCTTATTATTAAATTATCAATCAAGCTCAAAAGAAGTTCATAATTAACAATTGAGTGAAATTATATGTTAAACTATGCGTTAGTTCAGATGGTATGATTTCTCTTTTTCGAAGAGGAGGTTGAGCGTTCGAACCCTGATAGGACTATATATATATATATTAATGCTGAATTGAACTCACCGTGGCTGTTTGGCATCTTGCTCTGACTGAAACCCTAGCTTTTCTATTGGGTGGGGAAGGACCATGGCTAGTAATTCCGGCCACATCACTCCGGTGCAGTGTACTCTGTGCTTGTGCAAGCCTTGCCATGTCTTCTTTGCTCTCTTCTTTACGATCTTCTTCTTTATAATCTTGTTGGCTCGTATTGGTTTGTAGTCTTAAAGACAACCCTAAATGATCACTTTCTCTAGTATCATCTTCTTGTGATGGTGATGACACTGCTTGGTTATTGATGTTCAATATTCTTGGACCTCTCTTTGGCTCTTGAACCGTATCATCATTACCGTTGAGCGAGAGAAACATCTTAGGATCCTGGATCAAATAAAATAAAAAGTTGAGATCACAGATGCAAATTTTGTTATAGTAAACAAAAAATTAAATCAAAATTCAAAAGTCAAATGGAATTTACCTTTGTTTGGTTATTTTGTTGAATAACTGCAAATTTCATCTGCAAATCATAGTAGTCCTTGATTGTTTGCTCTACTACCTTCCTCAATACCTTGTTCTCCTCTTTCATGAGTTTCATCTCCTTCTGTAAGACAGATAACTAATAGGAACAAATGATAATTAGAGAATTAACACTATGGTTCTAAAATCATATAGATATGTAAAAGGATACATAATACACAAACACACACACACTTGTATATATATTACATGCATATTCATCAATATGTAGACAAACATGCATATATAAATATATATATATATATATATAGAGAGAGAGAGAGAGAGAGACTGTACCTCTTCTGTATTCGACTGTTTCTGCAAGGATGTTTCTGCTGCTGCACCAATATTCTCTACTTCTGTTTCTGCTTCTTTGTTATCTTCTTGTATGTGTACCTCTTCCTCTATAGCATCTTGTTTATCTTCTTTTACTTCATCTTTTGAATCTAGTTTCAGAGATAGATCAATTTCCATTTCACTTTCTTCTCTCCCCATTGAATACAAAACTTGCAGGCTCTCTCTCTCTCTCTGTGTTGCTTTTGAGGCACCAAAGTCAATTCCTTCGTCTCCAAAACGTATAATTAGAAACACAAGGCTGCATCTATGTTTTGACTTTAGTTGGGTACTTAAATAATTAACCTCCTTTCTTTAAGCTAGAAAGAATAATATGACATTGCCACTGCCTTGGAATTAGCCCCTTTTCATATTTTACTTTTGTATTGAAACCCTAGAAAAGACCACGGAGCCCTTTTTCATAATTTTTCTTCTCATTACATTTTTAAGACTAGCTTCTGGCCTTAATTGCCCTTAATTAATAACCTTGAATGATACTCTTACTATTGCAATGATACAAGTTTAACACAACCTTGACCTAGCTTAGACAATGAAGAAAATTGCAATGTAAACTCTAGCTTTGTTCCACTTCAACTTCAAGGGTTGGCCTAGTTGAAATAGATAATTTGGGCCTAATGTCTCATGAAGTATCATATCTTAAGATCGATTCTTGTGCAAATAATTTATTAGAGAGGGTGCGTGATTACCAACTAGAAAAAAAAATGTAAATAAAAAAATAAAATTGCTATTGAAATTTATATACTTCTACCATACTATAAATAAGTATTACTATACATATAGCCCGTAATCAAGATCCTCTGCGTATAGTGTGTACCCATTTTCAAATCTTACTTTTTGAAAAATAATTTTAAAACTTGAAAGACTGGGGGAAGAGGCCGGCCAAGCACTTTCACCAGCCTTTTAAGTTTATTTAGCACAACTCTTACTTTTTATTATTGATGGGACACAATATTGTTACAGACGAAACTAAGTGACACTGTCCTTCTATAAAAGAAAACGGAACACACATAATGCATTCAGATCATCTGCAATAATAGGTACACAATGTACGCATGCGACACGACCCGTTACAGTTGACGATCTGAACAAGGTTCCTTTGTATCTAAACAAAGTTCATTTGGTAATTAACCCTGGCTAAGAAACAATTAATTAATTAGAATAAAAAAAAAAAAAAAAAAAAAAAAAAGGAAAAAGTGACATCAACTTCTAATGGAATATGAGCCCCGTACGAAATCCCATAAGACGAGGCCTTGGGATCAGATCTTTAAAATAAATTGTCGACTAGAAGACTCACACATCTTTCCACTCTTCATCATATTAATTAAATACCATATTTTAAGTAACTTCTCTACCACCCCCCCATGTTATCTTAAAAGACTCCAATCATCAAATATTATATATAAACTTATCGTGCGTTGATTTCTTCACGCTGCAGGTTTAATAACAATTATTAACCTGCTACTCTGTTAGATCATCAGCTTGTTTGTGTTAGAATGTACATGTATTTTACCACCTTGAAGGTGGTCATTTAATGGATATATACATACATACATACATATATATATATATATATATATGGATGTAGCAGCAGTACAGTTCAAGTCAACTGTACATGGTGAATATATTGCCTCTACTACTTATTTTGCATTGCGTTAATTAATCCAAACCCTTTTTTTTTTTAATCAGAAAGGCAACCCTTAATTATAGGAGACAGTCTCTTGGGGAAAAAGTTGACGTTTGTGAAGATAGTTGAAATTCCAAAGAGTGTTTGGGAAAAGAAGAACAATTTCTTTTCATGCTTAATTAATTACTTGAGGTTTTTTTATTTTATGTTTTGGTACATATATAAATTACATTGCCATTATGTTATTTTTTTTTTTTTTACCCGGTAATTCCATTATGTTATAACTTATATTACGTATATGATAAATATTGCTTTGGAGTCTTTTACAACACATCAGAATTTGAAAATTTAATTTTAGTATGGATTTAACACCAAATTATGTGGGTTCATTCTTATTAAAGGACTGAACGTAAAAGTAGAAGATACCACTTATTCTTTTGTGAGAGACACAATGTAGAATTGAAATTGCATTTAACCATTTAATTAATATCAATAGGGTAACATTTGTCAATTATATATAGTAAGAAGTTATATATATATATATATATATATAATCTCTCTCTCACAGTCACGCACACAAACACACATGACTTTGATGAGAGAGAAAGAGAGAGGCAGGTGTAGGAGCAAGCGTCGCCGCAGCTAATTCTCATCACGTTGCGTCTTTAATTCTATTTGATATTAAAAAACACAACAAAGCCAACTAACTATATATATACAAAAGAAATGATATTCGCTAAAGACTCTCTCTCTCTCTCACACACACTGACACACACACACAATCTGTATAGTATATAGTTTATATATATGGATCTTCCAGTTCTCACACTTCCTAGACCAAGGTCTTTAATTATATTGGATCGGTTTGATACATAGCATTGGGCGCATGCATTTGTTTATTGTCGTCAAATCACCAAATATAAAGATCAAAGAAAATTTATTTTAACAAGGTTCAGCATTCAATTCGGATAAAAAAAGTTATTGATATAAATGAGTGGGTATGAAGTATTATCCAATAATTTAAAGTTTTGAATAAATGAATAAGCGTCCATCTATTACAATTGGTATCAAAGTCAAGTTCAGTCTTTGATTAAGTGTCATACCAAGACCTACAGGGCATCCGAATTTTCATCCCAAATAGACGGAGTGGTCCGACCGTAATAAAGGCATTACGTGAATTTGGGCGAGAAAAAACCTCATCTAACCTTTCAATCAGCTGTGACACTGTAGAGTTACGTGCTAGAAGATGTAAACTTTGACATCCAATACATCAACTACAAGAACGTAGGTGAACAGAGGTTGTCTCCCAAAGAAGCTGTCCCGGTTCATTCCCTTCCTATTTCAAGTACGATAGAGGATCCCGTGACAAGCGATCAAGGCGGCGAACTTACCAAATAGGATAAATGCCTACGGCCCTACCACCTTAAAAGGATCGAATTTGCGTGTCTGCTTCAACTTCACCTCTACGTGTGCAAGAATAGATTCTATAATTTTACTTTAAATTAATGAATATGTAACACTATCCGACAATCGTTACTATCTATCCACTTTAATTTTTGGATTTAAGGATTAAATTAATTTTCAAATTAAAGATTGACAAAAATAAAAATATTTCAAATAAGGCACCAGTATCACAATATATGTCTAACATATTAGTTACACTAAATGGTACTCTTAACTGCGTGCTTTTTTTTTTTCTATATTTTTTTTTTTTTTTTTCTTATTTTTTTTTGTCAACTCCACCATGTAATTTCTTCATTTTTCTATTTGATATAAACTAAAATAAAAAAATAGGACTGTTTGATTCAATTTTGTAAGAACATTAGAATTCATCATTGAAAATTGTACAAAAATCTATTTAGTTGATACTTTTTAAAATTTATTTTATTATAATTCAGTTTTAATATATTTTTGAAAAATTATATTTTTGTTCTTATTTTTTTTTGTCAACTCCACCATGTAATTTCTTCATTTTTCTATTTGATATAAACTAAAATAAAAAAATAGGACTGTTTGATTCAATTTTGTAAGAACATTAGAATTCATCATTGAAAATTGTACAAAAATCTATTTAGTTGATACTTTTTAAATTTTATTTTATTATAATTCAGTTTTAATATATTTTTGAAAAATTATATTTTTTATAGTCTTCTGCACGATTCTTTGTAAACAGTTTTCTTCAAAACTTTTATGAAAACCGAATCAAACAAATCCTTACATTCTTCTTAATCTCATTTTTGAGTATGAAAACTTTCATTCACACTACACATACAGAGGATTTTTTTTTTTTTTTTTTTTTTTTTTCTTCCTGTTTTGAGTTGTTCGTATGAATAATGCATAAAACAAGTCAATTCTATGGGCTGGCAAAATGTTGAATTTCTTTTTCCGTATTTCACGTCATGACTTAATTGATTCCTATTTGACTTTTAAAACATTAAATTCATATTTCATATAATTAATGTGTCATTCAAGAATCTTTTTAATTATACATGGACCAAGATACACTATTCCATGCATGACTCATGAGCCCAAAATCAAGTGAAGACTTGGTGCAACAATCAAAATATGCAAATTAAAATTGTCTTAGAAACACCAATCTTTTTTTTTTATTTCCTACTTGTTTGGAGCTATTACGTACCATTATCAAAACAGTTTGGTTTTCTATATTCAATAATTTTTTTTTTTTTTTGGAAGTGTTCATTTAACACGTTAAAAGTTAAAACATCAAAGCCATTAATTCAATTAAAATAAAGCGCCCGCGATTTTATTTATTTATAATTTTATCTTCGCTTTGGCTTGTAATTTTCGTTTCTCAACAACTTGTACCAAATAGGAAAAACAAAAAACAAAAAAAAAAATTCTTGTACCAAATCACATCTATTGCGTGCGTGCTCGATCATTGGCATTTTTCACAACATGACAAAATAATATTAATATATAGTATGGAAATATAATTCAGATTTGTTCAATTTCTTCACTTATTATTGACCAATCTTTTGTTTTGTTTTGGTAATTTTGTTGGTATTATATAATTATAGTCAACTTAGCAGTCACACCTCAACATGATCCCAAAACGCTCAATCTTCCTGGTCTTCCGGCAAAGTCCTGTCACAATGACGACACTTAGAATTAACATGCATGGTAGCTGTCATTTTTTTTTTTTTTTTTTTTTTTTTTTTTTTACAGTATATATATATATATACTACATAATTTTTTTTGTGTGTGTGCAATTTTGTTCCAAAAATACAAACAGGACAATATAGGATGAAAGAAGTATAATATATATATATAGATACACGCACACACATATTGTTTGATCTATATAAATAATATTGAGGCAACCGAGGGCCAATCGGCTCTCGGGAGATGGTGATAAATGGCAAATGAGTTGATAGAGTTGACCCGACATGGGTTTTCTTTAATTTCCTCTGAGTTGACCCACTCCACCTCCCATTTATACACTCTAAAATGACACTATTACTGCACATGATGATTA